GACATAAAATTAATTTTAGTAACTTCTGTAAATCATTTAATAATTCTTTGTAGATCAACTTTTCAATAGTGAATTTTAGCCGGTAACAATATACAAACCTTATAAAAAACATATCATTTCCTTATTTTAATTTTTTATAGGATTGGTATAGATGTGATGCCTCTATTTTATGGAAATATATTGAGCTAAATGATATTAGAAATAATCAAACTCAAATAAAAAGATTTTTAAAAATAGTATATGAAGGAGGGTGTAAATCAATTATAACTCAAAATTAACTTTTATTAAAATATCAAACTATCAGCTTTCAAATAGAAAATCAAAAGCATTATACGCAAGTTCTAAAATATAATTTATTTAGATTTTGAAGAAAGTATGAAACCTAAGTCTATTGGAAAAGTTTTAAAACTAATAGCAGAATCATACTCAAATTTGAAGTATGTTAATATATCTGCTTTAGGTAATTTATTTTAATGGAAAATTGATAAAGGTCTAACTGCAATTGCAGATTCATATCATAAATTAGAATGTCTAAATATTTCTAATTATACAGAGTTTTCTGAAATATTAATTTGCAATAATATTCGTTTTAGTCCAAGACTCCAACATCTTGATATTAGTTTTTGTAAAATTACTGATATAACTATTGGAGAAATTGTTAGATTTTGTTCCAATTTAAAATATCTTAATCTAAGAGGGTATTATAAAATTAGCAAAAAGACTATAGATCAGCTCATTTTACTTAATCTGAATATCTATATTGATAATTTTGTGAAAACTCTAACACCTTCTAGTCTCATTAGAGTGGTTAGAAAACATCTTACACAAAACAACTTTGCTAGTAAACATGATTTTTTCTTAAAGCCTTCAGAATCTTTTAGATTTAAGTATACGAGATAATTTGCGATAGTATTCTGATCTAGGGTTAGCTAGATCAATAGTTCAAAGCAATGATTATTAACTCAGAAGATGTTTTTTGCATCTAGATATGCCTTGTGTGATTAAAAATATAAATTAGTTAACTTATTCTAGACATGAGCATTGATTGATACTAGCTGATTTTTTAACGAATATTTTATGCAATTGTTGAGGGGTAAGATTTGGAATTAGCAGAAGCCTCTCTCTAGTAAACAAAATTTTCTTTTTCTCTATTTCACTAATAATACACTTGAAACATCTTCTAAGGGACTATAAAATTCCTTAAACTTCTGGAGATATACTCTTGTATTTTCATTGGCCTTTTCTGCTTTTTTTTGATTAGAATAATCAATAATGTCAAGTTTATCTAGAATTGCTATTATATTCTCTTCCAAATAAATAAGCAAATTAAATATTTCTCCAAATGAAAAGGCTTTATTGCTTTAAAGTGCTTCTTCTAAAATGGGATTACTATCAATGCTAAGATCATCTCATATTGGTAATATTTCTATTATCAAATCTATCAATAATTCATATAAAGTAGTAGCGAATTGTCCTAGGACGCATTAATATATTAATATATTAATGCGTTCTAGAACAATTCGCTACTTATACTAGACTATTATGTCTTAGGATATCATAATCTTTTTGATGATTAATATGTCTTAGGACACTATAATATATAAATTAATATGTCTTAGGACGTTATAATATATAAATTAATATGTCCTAAAGATGGGGGTCTGCTTC